AGGGGATGGGGATGCAGGGTTGGGGCATGGGATTACCTCAGGTGGCTCCTGGTCAGCAGCGCAGTGGGGATGCTAAGGCAGCCTTCCTGCCTGTCCTGGCACTGCGGACTGCGCTGCACCCCAGAAGCAGGTCTGGCTCCTAGGTGGAGGCACACAAGTGGCTCCTTATGGCTCTTGCCCGCAGGCACCACCGCCCCAGCTCCCATTGGTCGGTTCCTGGCCTATGGGAGTGTGGAGCCGGTGCTCGGGGTGGGAGCAGTGCGCAGAGCCCTGTGTCCCCTTTCCCCCCCCTCCCCCCCGCCTGGGAGCCAGACCTGCTGCTGTCCGCTTCCAGGGCGCAGCGCGGTGTCAGAACAGGTAGGGACTAGCCTGCCTTAGCCAGGCAGCACCACCGATGGGACTTTTAATGGCCCGGTCAGCAGTACTGACCAAAGCCGCCGTGACCCAGTGCCTTACATTCCACAACCCAGTACTGGGTCATGACCCGCAGTTTGAAAACCACTGTTCTAGACAAAGGTATGTTGTTTTCCTGTGTCTCCAGTGTAAATTGAGCCAGGTAACACCTCAGAGGACAACGAGAAGTACATCCATACAAAAGATAAACAAAACCATCAAACTAACACAGTGGGGGAGAAGGCTGCTTAACAATCACGATGGGGGATGGAGCCTGCACCCTCAGGAAACCTTCCTGGGTCTTGAAACAGGCACTATAGAATTTGGGAAATGCAAGCAAAGGCAGAAAGCCATTTTGGCATCCATCACTGGACGGACAAAAGAGGCCAGAGCTCTTGTAATCTGAGAAAGACGGATTCTTCAGCTAAGGGGGTAGAAGTCTCTGGGAACTGACTATAGGTGAGAAACCTGCTTAGACAAAGATTGCAACTTGCTGAAGTTAAGTTTTAGCCACCAGATAGCACATTTTGTTTTGTTTTACTTGTAACCATAACTGTGTTTTCTATTCTTATTGCCACTTAAGTATCTGTTCTCTGTTAATAAACTCACCTTGTTTTATTACAAAACCATCTCAGTGCTGTGTATTAAACTGAAGGGTGGATCCTCAGTTAAACTAACAGGCAGAGGACTTCATAACTTCTATGAGTATCCAGTGAGAGAGACTGGACATTGCAGGGGAGACTCAGGATTGGAAGGGTTGTTGGTGTCACCCTGCAAGGAGAAACTAGGCTGGTGAAAGCCAGGGTGAGGCCACTGTGCTGTGAGCAGGCTGCTGGTATCAGGACTCTGAGCCAAAGCTTCACAATACAAGCACCCAGGGCTACAGGGCAGGTAGTGATAGAGCCCCTTACTGGTCTGGGTGAACCCCCAAAGCATCACAGTGATATTCTTCTGTTTTACATGGTTCTGTTTGGGCAGTTCATTTCTGTCATAATTTTTTAAATTGTTGTTGAGCACCTATATGTGCTTTATAAATTGACATAAATATTTGAAAGAATAGTATAAGTTTTAATGTTTTCATTAAACTAAATACAGAAAATATCAATTTCCCTTTGAGCTCTCTTGCATGTTTAATTTTATAATAACATTTCTTAGACTAATTCTAGAGAAAACAGCAAAAAATATTGTGTTTGTTTATAAATGTCATGGGAATAAGATTACGTTTTATCATGACATATTTTACTTTAATTTTTTCCACTAGGCCTTTATGACAAAGTATTTTAAGAATCAATTATTGTATCATCAAAAATGCAATTTATTATTAAGAAAGACTAACAACCTTTCTAGCAGTTTATTACTTCACATTAAATATTTATTAGGAAAAAAATTAGAAGTAGTAAGCACATTTTATTTCAATAATAATGAATAAAAGTATAACTGAAGTTCATTTTTACAAGATAGAACTAGGAATGCTTATTAAAATTGACATTTGAAGCCTGGACCTTCAGCATTGCAGCACAGATTGTTACTACTTGAACTACAGGACTAATAACATTAGTAGTCAGCAGGAGAAGGCTGTTTTGGGGGGAAGGGGTGGAATGGGGTGCAGCTAGGTCTGGGAAATGGTTGCAAGAAACTAACCCTGATGTGATTTGCTCCCTCTTCCCTTCCCCATACACCCTGGCTGGGAATTGGGAATTTGGGGGAGCTGCCACCCTGGAGACTGGAGGGAGAGGGAAACTGGACCACTGATGCTAATGCTAGGTGTGCTACAGCTGCTTTGGTAGCAACCTGTGACCCCGAAGCAGCAGCATCTGCCCTCAGCCCAGTCTAGAAACAGTCAGTGATTTCATCAGCACAGCGATGCTGGAACAATTTTTATTGTGGGGGTGCTGAGAGTCATTGAACCAAACTTGTTAGTCTCTAAGGTGCCACAAGTACTCCTGTTCTTTTTTTGAACCAAACTGTAAACCCTGTATCTAATGGAAACTATTTCAAGACAGGGGGTGTGGCACCCCCAGCACCCCTAGTTCCAGCACCTATGTATCAGGCTGCTAAAACTGCCCTGAGGAACACACAGGAGGAAAGGGAAAAGGTGACTTAAATTTTATTATGATGATGTTTAAAAAAAAAGTGAACAGTACAGAGTTTAAACATATAAATTTCTGGTTATCAGGGAATAACGTACAGATTATCGAGGAGTGTGAAGTTCGGTTTAAGATCGGGTGTTGTAAGGAATACATAATCTGCAGTATCCCCGATTGGGGGTAAAAGGTTGATTGGTCAAAGTACAGACATTGAGATATGAGGGTATGATGTTCATATAATGGCTATGTTCGGGTGTGGAGTATAACGAGTGGATATGATGATGAGGATGGATTGACCCTCATCTGGTGAGATTTAATGTTCAGGGAGTTTAAGGTTCCAGTTCATATGATCCAACAGAGAAAGTCTCTTGGTCCCTTTCTCGTAGTCGAAGAACAATGTCACACTATACATCATAGCCACATCTGTATGGAATTATTGCATAGGACAAAGAAAAGGCACATATAAAGGGAGCTCACCCTGACCTATGGCAAAGGTTGGCTGCAAACAGAGATGTGAGAGTCAGCACTAGGCATAAGAAGGCAAAGCAATTGCTTAAGTGCCCAAACAGCTCAAGGGGACCCTGATTTAGTATTGCCACCAAAATACTGTTAATCTATACTTTTTAACAAATGTATCAGGATGCATTGGGTTGGGTTTTTTCCTGTGGTTTGTGGAAATGCAATAGGTATTTTTTGGGGGTAGGTGTGAGGAGGAAGGGGCTGGCCACCAAAAATATTCCTGCTCAGCGCCCCTTCCCCCCGTGCGCTAGCTCTGACTCTGGTGAGAGCTGTTCAAAGGAAGGCCACAACAATCCTTTGCAGTTGAAAATGTGAGGCCATCTAAGTTGAGGAATCTCGCTGCCATGGCACTCGGATCCATACTACACTATCTGCCTCCGCTACACAGAGAAGGGGACTGGACAATGCAAGCATGCCTGGCCAAATCCAGTTTAGCTCTAGCTGCCGCCCTCCAGTCATCCCATCCCCGCCCCTCAGACCGTGCAACTGAGCACACTCCACCCCCCCCCCCCCCATGGCAGCATCTGCCTCATGCAATGTGCACACCCCAGACCCCTCCCCGTTGCCTCCGTCCCATGCACTGTGCAAACCCTGCCCCATGCACTTTGCATACTCCGCACCCATCGCTGCCCTGCCCTTTGCACTGTACAAATCCCGCCCCGTAGCTTCCCCATGCACCGTGGACACCCCTCCCCGCATCGCTGATCCCGCCCCTCCCCCATGGGGGAGATGACCGTGACGATGACTGTGAGGTGACTATACTACCCACGGCCCCCAACCTCCTCTCCCTACGGCTTCGGTGACATCACGAGAAGCCCCGCCCCTTCCGGTCTCTCCTTCTCTTCCTCCCCCCGCCCACCGCCGCCCGCGCGCCAGAGTGATTCCAGAGAGCGCGCGCGGCGGCCGCAGCAGCGTCGTCGCTGGCTCTGAGCGGCCGCTTCGCATTCAGCCTCCTCCCTCCCCGGAACAGCGCGCGGCGGCATCGACCGACCGACACCAGCGCCGGTTTCTGCGCGTGCGGCGGCGCTTCCATCCGGCCCCGGAGCCTCGCGGCGCAGCAGTAGCAGCGCGAGCCGGCGCGCGTGGAGTAGGAGGATCCGCCTCTCTTCTCCCCCCCCGCGCGGCGCGTCTCTCTCCGCGTTGCTGCAGAAACAAAGGAGAGGAGCGGCGGCGTGAGCTCCTCACCGGGCCGGGACTCGCCCCGCTCGCGCCGGGACAGCCAACCCCTCCCCCCCCGCCGCCTTTGTCTGGCCGCAGCAGAACCGACCACTCGCCCGGGGCCTTCGCCAGCAGCCCCTTCGAGCAGGTCAGTGGCGCCCCGCGGCCTGTGTCTCTCCGCCGGCCGCCCTTCGTGGGTGGGGAGGGCCGAGCAGCGCGGGGGGGGGGGCGAGGGAATTGCTCCGGCCCTTATACGGGCCAGACACCCCCGCCTGTTCCGGGGAGAAGGGCCCACAGCTCCTTAGAGCCCCGAGCAAAGGTCCCGGCCGGGGGGGGGAGGGCAGCGAATAGGGCCCTTAGCAGCCCGATCCCCGCCGCCGGCCCTGGGGGAGTCCCCGCCCGGGGTTCGCGGACCGCGGCTGCTGGGAAGAACAAAGAGCCGGAAGGGGCTGGGGAGGCCGGCGGCGCTGAGCGAGCGGCTGGGCGGCGTGACTCAGGGATTTAGAGAGAGGCCCAGCAGGCCTGGGGCTGCCGGTGGCCGGGCGAGGAACACGGCACGTTGCCGCTCTCGTGGCTCCGGCTCGAATAGCGCTTCCCCTGCGTGCCCGGCCCCTGGCGAGTGTCTTCGGCCGCGGGAGGCTGGCGGCGCCCTTCCTTTTTGTTTGTTTGATTGGCTTGGCTTAATTTTGCCTTTGTCCGTTTGGATCTATATTCTCCGTGTATCTAGGGAGCGCCTCAGCTCCTCTTTCTAAAGCGCAAAATGCCCTGGGTCAGCCTGGGGTCTGGAGGAGGATGTCAGGATAAATAAAGATTTAGGTCAGCCAGCCCATTCTGCCCCATCATTGACGCAACTCCCATGGATTTTAGTATTGATTTAGATATTGCTTTGATTTTTCTGTTCTCCTTTTCCCCTCACGAAGTCCGTTTTAAAATGTGAATTTATCTGGTGTGGCTATTGCAATTTGCTTGTGGCTTGGTCAGTAAAGCACTTTTGCATGGAGAACTAAAGTTCATTGCTGCTGTTTTATGGTATTTTGTTAAGCCCACTCCAAATTCATTGTTAATTATATTATTAAAGTGCCCTTGAGTTTAGCTGTAATTCAAAACGAAATACCTCCTATATAGTCTTCAGCTGCTTACTATACTGTAGTATTTTCCTGCCCTTGTTTAACTTGTATAACTAGCAGCTATCCAGATTACTGTAATAGAATCACTAGCTGAGCTAATGCAAGTTGCAAAACCTAGTTCCTTCTGTAAAAGGAAACAGGAGGGAGCAAGAACCTTAACCTTTTAATAAGTCTCCTCTTTGCATCTAAAAAGGAACAAACTGTGATATGCAGGCAAATGCTTCTGTTGAAACCACCCACCCAAAAATGCTGGGTACTGTATATGTGTGAGCAGAAGCAGTGCAACAGCAGTCATCTTTTGGGCCTCAGATCATACTCAGCTGTTTTGTCTTTATGCTGTATGTTAAAAATGGTAATGGCTGTTTGAGATGACTAGCCCATGATGCTGCATTTTCTAAGTAGAATTTAAGAATGTCTCCTTCTCTCTTCAGAGAGGAAGCTGTAATCATCCTGTTAATTGGATTTTATATTTCTCCATTACAGTGGGTGTATGCTTTGCTGCTTTAGTTCTGTGGGTTGTGTAGGAGTTGGCAACCTTTTGAGATATAAATAGAAGCTGATTTCAGAGGCCCCTGTTGACGAGGTTGTGTGTTTGAGCCTCTTGCTCAGCCTGTCACATTGCAGCCTTGTGACAGGCGGAAGCTAATGCATTCACCCATGTGACCTAAGCTTCTGAGAAATACTAAGGAAAGCAGGCACACATGTGATACTATTATAAGCTGGTTTTCTAAGGGAAAGACAGAACTGAACGTGTAACATTAAGTGGATGACTGCTAAATTATGGAGTCCCATCCTAGTTGGCAGCTGCTGCTATGACAAGCAAAACATTTCTGTCATAAAGAGCTTGAAACAGTTAGGTTTATGAAACCAATAGTCATTTGAATTTCCCCTTTTCATTAATCCAAAAGTACAAAGAGCATAATTTAGTTTCTGGTGGATAAATAATTATTAATGGATGATAAAGGTATATTTGTCTTCATGCTGGTGTGTGCTTTTTAAAGGAAACGTTAGTCAGGTGATACTTGGACCTGGTACAAGAAAAATGAAATGGCACAATTTCTTTAACAGTCACTAGAAAATAACAACTTGTCCTTTTTTAATTATGGGCATATTTCCCGTAGGGAAAGAATGTGCTGACAGGAGCCATGAAAGTGCTTGTATTTACATTATATCCAAAACAACAATTAAAACCTAAAAATAGATTTAAATAGCATGTGGTAAAATATGTTTACAACATACTCATTTTTAAGAGGAGTAAATTGGAGCAATGGAGACTCATTCATGGATACTGACATGTTTAGAATTATTAAAAGGGACACCACTCACTTAAAATTAGCACTTCTATCCTCTGAATATCTAAATTGTAAAGCCTAAAATTACTATAGAAGAAAATATTTTCTGTATTTTTAGGTCATCTGGCAGCACTTTGTATAGTCCACTGTTTGTGCTGCATAGCTGATCAGTTCCATCTGCATGGGTCCTTAAAATAAATAAGAGAAGTGGTTGTAAAACCACAATTCGGTAGGAGAAGCCTATGGCAAGTGTCAAAAAGGTCTTGTACTCAAGGTACTAAACTAGAGATATAGATCAAGAGATGTCACAAACTATCTGAGTGACCTTGTGCAAGTCACCTAATTTCTTTGCTTCGATTCCAGATCTGTAAAAGGTACATGTAATTGTTCCTTTTTGCCCCTTGGTATGCCTTGTCTAGTTTGTAAATTTTCTGGGTCAGGGATTGTTTCTGTGTATTTACAGTACTTGCTATAGTGGGCCCTAAATCTCCCTTGGAGCCACACAGTGATAGTTTCAGCTACTATAGTCTCTCTAAAGAAAGGCTTATCACCCTTAGCAGATGCAGACCTTTAATTTACAGAATGTATGTTTTGGTCCATAGCAAGCACCTATGTATCAACATATGTATATTGGGTTGCTGTGAATCTTAAACTTGTCTTTTCAAATATCCGTAATTCTCTTTGGATGTTACTAGAGAGAGAGACACTAATATGGAGAGGCTGTTTTTGTCAAAATATCTAGCTCTTTTCAAGCTTTAAAAAGTTCAATGTGCCCCGAAAGGTATATTGTTTTAAAACACAATTTTTCTAATGGCCCAGTCGAAGATTTTAATTTGCCCTGGATTTGTAGCAGATCACTTGATTATACTGTGCTCCTGTTATAATAGTGCTCTTGGGAGCCAAGGATTCATTGCTATATCAAGTTTTCTGCTAAACTCGCATTGCAGCGATAAATCACTAGTGAAGGTGAGGTATTTATTTTGTTAATTTTTGCTGTTCATGTTATGCAGAGGTGAGGACTTTTATTATCCAATGCCAGACATGCTATAAATCCATACCTTGCTATAAATTCTTGAGCCAGAGTATTTTGCTGAGCTTATGGAAATGAGTAGGCTGTGTAAATAGGTGTCTTAGCAGCCAAAGGCATTTCTTGAAAGTTTTCTGTTCAAGTTTGTTGCAAATGCAATGTTTAAAGCACTGTAAAATAAATTCATGGCGTTTCAGAAATGCCCACAGATCCCGAATATGGAAGATTCTGCACATATGTTGCTGCCAGTTAACATGCAGTGTCCTCTTTCATACACAACAAGACTACTTATTCTGTTTTGGAAATTACTTCTATAGTTAGAAGTGCATATTGAAATTGACCCACATGTCATATAAGCAGTAAAGGCAGTTTATTTGCTGTTCAGTCTGTTGATAAATAGATTATATTAATTTCCAGAGTTGATTAGTGTACACAGATTTGGTGTGGCTTATTCAGTGGATCTGACTTCTTCAGGAATAGAAATTAGCCAAAGTGAGTGACAGGTGACACACGGGAAATATTGAAATATTTTTCTTGTAGGATTTTATAAAGGTATAAAAATATCAATGCTTTCCATTACTGCAACTTTACATAACACAAATGTAGCCTTTGTTAAGAATGCTGACCTCATTTATGCTGACATCATTAGAAAAAGTAAAGATACTAATGACTGTCTCATACAAACTGTGATCGATTTTGGTGACATGCCAACTTTTAATGCAGTTTTCTGGTTTTATTTACAGCACAGAGATGGCTCAGGAGACAAACCAGACCCCAGGGCCCATGCTGTGTAGTACCGGATGTGGATTTTATGGGAATCCTAGGACAAATGGAATGTGTTCCGTCTGCTACAAAGAACATCTTCAGCGACAGCAGAATAGTGGCAGAATCAGTCCAATGGGTAAACTTTTTTATTAGGATAAATCATGTCTGAGAAGATGGCAGGAATTGTAGGACAAGTGTTAGAGGCAAGAACATCTGCAATGGCTATGCTGAAAACAAGCAATGATTTGGGGTGGGGGTTAGCAACGAATAAAACTATTATGTTCATTTTTACATTCTGGACAACGCACTATGCTTGCTGCCCCACCCTAAGTCTCTGCTGAGCACTTGATCCATATATTTAGATGATCGCTTTAGTTGTATTTCATTGGCATGCAGTTTTAAAGACACAAAGCAATCTAATAAAATATCAAGTAAATGGGTGAGAATAGCTAAACTAATATTATACATAAGTGTGCTTGAGTAGTTGATATTAATTTATATTCTATGCATTTACTTAACTTTCAAATTTCTGTTGCATAGGAACAGCCAGTGGTTCAAGCAGTCCTACCTCAGACTCTGCATCAGTTCAGAGAGTAGATGCTAGCTTAAACTGTGAAGGTGCTGCTGGCAGCACATCTGACAAATTAAGGTAAGTTGTGGAATTACTGTTTTGAGGCTAAACTAAGGTAAATCTATAAAACAAATAGAGGGTTTATACTTAAAACAATCATGGCCTAGGCATACTGATTTCACCTTATTGTAGTTTGGTTTTTGGAGGAATAAATAGCTGACAAACTGTGCCTGGTGGAGAACTATAATTGACCAATGCTTTGTGAACTTGATTGAAGATGTAGTGGTAGCATTTGAGAATTCTGATGTAATTGGTATATGATTGGCATTGGACTGTTGGATATTACAAGAACGCTTTCTTGACTCTTAGCTGAACAGCAGTTTGCTGCATAGCTCCTTCGGTCTTCTAGAGCAGTATTTCTCAACGTTTTTGATACCAGGGACTGGCTTGCTGCCTTCCTAAACTGTGTCAGGGAGATCTCAGGGACTGGTGCTGGTGCACAGACCAGCTGTTGAGAAACACTGTTGTAGAGTGAGTGAAGTAATTATTAAAAGAAGCCTTTCATTATTTTCTTCAAATATTGTAGAAGCTACCTCTGTAATGGCAAAACAAATAGTTTAAACTGCTGAGAATATTTAAGTAGAGTTTGGACAACACATGCATTTAGTGTAAACTCAAAACTAACATGAATTGCTTTTCTCATTGAATGTAACAGAAATGTGCCTGTTGCTGCCTTGCCCGTAACACAGCAAATGACAGAAATGAGCATTTCAAGAGAGGAAAAAGTAACACCGAAAACAGAGACAACAGAGCCAGGTGTGCCATCAAATTAACTTTGAATACAACTAGTGGCTTTTAACAGAAGTTGACAGTTTATATTACCATCTCTTCCCTCACCATCATAACACTGTCATAGGAACAATATTAAAAACGGAAGGTGGTGGTTCTGAATATTTGAGTATACATTGTAGTGCAGAGAAAAATAGCTGGGGCTAAATTTGATGGTTGGACATGCACACAATTCCCATTGAAGAATTTGACAAGAGAGCAAGTTTGGCTCTTAAACTTGCAGTTTAAATTTTGAAACACTTAGAATGTACCCTATCGTTGTTTTAGAATTGTAAGGGAAAAGAACAGAGGGCTAAAATGGTAGAAACCGCTGTTGAAAATCTAGGAGTAGCTTTCTCAAATTTCTTTTGGCTTGTGTATTCAGTCGTATTAGAGCGGGAAATGCAGCTTTTATGGAGGATAAATAATTATTTGAGCTTACTGGCTAAACATATTTTAAGAGAATATTTCTTTTATAACTCTGTCCCAGGGCTATGCCCTTAGTTTAATGCATGTAACAGACTTGTCTGTTGAAGGATAGACTTATCAAGCACCTGTGGGTATAATTGATCCATTGTTCTTGAATTGGAGTGAACTTAACAGTTGGGCCATATTTTCATAATCCAAGCGGATACTTTAGAAGTTGTACTTTTACGTTGGGAAGGTTGCAGATACCTTACAATGGTATTATTTAAATTAAAAGAAAAGTTAAAGCATTAATCTTTTTTGTGAAAAGCAAGTCTACACCAAAAGCTACCAAGTCCTTGAACCAGTATTTTTGTTAAACTGTCACATAAAGTTTGAATAATGTGTAATTTTTCTACAGCTACTAACACCAATATTGTCTCTTTTCCTTTTTCCCATTTGATGTGTCTCCTTCAAAACACTTCATTTAAATAGCTTTATAAAATTGGTGTTTGTTTTGTAAATGCTGCCTTGGTTTTACAAGAGATTTTTTTCTGTGATACTTAAACAATATTATCGTTTTTCAAAACTGAAAAAAATCTGAAGGTTAAGAGTCACCGGAAGATTTCAGTTACTAGCCCTTTATTTCTGTGTAGGATTTGAGCTGCTTTAATGTCTTGCATTAAACTGTTTTGTATTCATACTTAGGCTCTGGCTATTTGGGATGTAAAAGATGTGCATCAGTAATATGATTCTGTGACATGGATTGATAAATACAAGTGTATTTATTGCTCTAATGCTTTTTGGGGTGTGTACAGAGTTTAAGGAGACTTTTATAAGCTATGCAAGTTATCTCCTGTAACTCAGTTGTGTGTCTTTTAACAATGCATCTTGAGGTCATACCTGAGAGCGCCAATGAGGAAGGAAAGAGTACATGTAAAATAAGGTAGTAATGACCGTGTGGCAAGTGAGTCAAATTGAAAATTCTTGTTAACAGTTAAAATTGGTTACCAAATTGCAGAAGTCATCTTTGAAACTGATAGCTTGTAAGCTTCTGATCTCCTTGGGGATGAACAGATGACTAATTGACACCAAAAACTATGCTATGCAAAACAGTACTTAAGTCTTTCTATGCTAACAGAAGCTGCTTGGAGAAAGTTGCTTATAACAATTCTTAATTTAATTACCAGGCTAATAGTAAATGCCTCTGTGGAACTCAAAACACAGGGTTTTATTGCAATTTACATGGAAAGGAACAGAAATTGCATACTGGAAGTCCATGTAAATACCTGGGAAACCTTAAGTTGATCTCTTTTCCTTCCCCTCTCCCCCGGGCTTTGAAATCGTTACACTGACATTCTTCCAGCTTATTTAGATCTTTAGGAAAACTGCTATCTGCTCCAGTGTGTTTTCTGCAGTCCATATTCCTTAAACTCTACATATGGCCACTCAACGGGTATCTTAAAGCCAGTTTTGCCAGACCATAGAATCTAGCCTCTAATTTTGTTTTTATCAAGTCCTTGTATTGTGCCTACTGTAATATCTGAGCACTTTTCAAAATTAAGTAACTTATTTGTAGACTGTTCACATCTTTCTTTTCTTCCTCCATCCGGCAGCACCTAGGATTTCTTTAATTCATTCTTTCAGAACAGGAGGGGAAAAAGTCATGGGGGAAATAGTCAGTCTGTCATGGGTAAATTGTATCAAAGAGGAAGGGTTTGCTCATCTTAAGTCATGACAAGATTTAGGTTCATTGTCATCTGCCACTCTTTAAGAGAACATCATTGGGCAGGCTTGCTGAAAAGGCTTTGGCTGCTCCTCTCACTAATCTTGTCCTGTTTCAGTTTGGTAGTCTACAAGTATCACAGATGTTTGGAGGGATCATGATCACAAAGAAGAAAGATGTCCTCTGAACAGACTTGTTCAAAGCCCATTTAGCATTTTGAGGATAAATACTAGGACTTGATCCATTCACTTAATGGGTAGTCATTAGAGATCTGAGCACTAGTGTTGTCCTTCTTCAACTTTTATTGCATGTGGATTGGTGGGTGTGCCCAAATACAACAGTCTGGTGGTCACAAATGCATGGAATACTGTGGCTTGGGTCAGACTTATACCTGACAGGATGCGATCTTCTGGCAAGCTGTAGAAAGAAGGGTGCTTTACTTGCTCCTGTTGCTATTTGGAGATCTATTATTGGATCCAAAACCACATACCATTTTGTGACCGTAGGAAAGATGGCCTCTGTTTGGAAAAAAACTTGATCTTCTCATTATTTCCCTCTATCCACCATCACTTCAATTTTCCCAAGATTGAACTTCAGCTAGCTGCTCCTCCAGAAATAAATATACCCTCAGGTACTGTGACAAGTAGTGTGGCTATTACTAGCATTTGGGATGAAGATATTTTGAGTATCTATGTATTGTAGGCACTTCGGATTATGGCACCTGGCAATCTCTCCCAGAAGCTTGTAGATGTCAGAGTTGGGGAGAGAATATGTAACACTCCATAAACAGTCTATCAAGAAAGGGTAAGCAAATAGGGCTTACCTGAGTTTACATGTCCCAATCTTTCAAGCAACTGAAACTTTTATCTGTTATTTCCATCTGTTTAATTTTGTCATTCATCTAGATTGTAAACTGTTTAGGGTGGGAACTGAACATGCTATATATACTTAGCATGTTATTTTCAGATGTCTATAAGTGGTGTTTTTTAAAACAAAGTCAAAACATACCTTGTTCAGAATTACTGGGTGTGAAAGGGAACCTTAAAAAAAGACGTGTAATCATTAAAAGGGGTGGCTTGCATTAAAGTCACAGAGAAAGTCTTGACCCTTGTAAAACTACATTTCACTTTTGGACTTACGGTCCAAGGAAAGCTTCTTAAATGAAACTAGACTCAACCGGGACCCCAAATGTTCATGGGAGAAGCAACTGAAAACTAGCATTAGAATGAATGAGTCAGTTTAACTATGCTACCTTTACTGCCGCACTGAATTTACTGTAATACAAGAATGTCTAGGTTCAGCATAAATGTGGGCTGTTGCTCTTTTCTAAATTACTGTAGGAGTGCTTGTATAAGAAAGTGGAGAGCATTCTCATAGGCAAAGGTAACTCTTCTCTGACTGAGAATAGCACTCATAGCAGGGAACTATGTGAACCAATGGTGTAGTGATTCAAAAATTCAGCTGCTGTTGCAGTCTTAGGCCTGACCTACAGTAGAAAATTGGATTGGCATAACTGTCACTCAAGGATGTGAAAAATCCATACCCCTATGCAGTGTAATTAACCTAAGTCCCTGTGTAAACCGTGCTAGGTTGACAGAATTTTTCCATCAGTTTAGCTACCACCTCTTGGAGATGGATTACCTACATGACAGGAAAATCCCTCTCATTGGTGTAGGTAGTGTCTACATTGAAGCATTACTGTCTCACCTGGCTATTGTTAGATTGGAAATTGTTACAAACAGTAGTGCATTAATCTGGATTGTGTTAATTGTGCAGTAAGTATTGTGTAGCTTAATGCTTTTAGGGTCTTTCAATTTACTTGATTTCTGAAACAAAAAAACTTGTGTACAATTTAGATTGTTTAAAGAGTAGGTGGTCACAAAGCTTTACCTATTAAACACTGGGGGGAATCTCTCAAAGGAATACTAAAAACACAACTATACACTTGGTTTACCATGTGACTTTAAATTTAAACTTTCCTGTATACATTGATATTCAAAGTAGGTCTTAAGTCTTACATAGCACTCACCGTGCACTTATGACACTTTCCATTCATAGTTCTTTAGGTAGGTAGGTTAAATAAAGCTCACCATTTACATGCGAAAATGGAGAGAAGGTTAAAGTGGCCATATTCCTGACTTACCAGCACTTGGTGTAATAGACACAGCTGCAGGTTTATAGCTAAAGACATCTGTATTCATATAAAATAACCTTACACATGGTATTGTATACATTATGAATTTTGCATAGTTTCTGGGAAAGGAATGCAGTGTCTTTGGCTGTACCTACATTCTTGAATGCTTGTTGTTGAATTATTCAAAATTAATCTGGAGCTCTCATTTCAGTTTGCTTTATTTTTATTTTTTGCTGCTTTTCCCATAGTTGTTACTCAACCAAGTCCATCAGTATCTCAACCCAGTACTTCTCAGAATGAAGAGAGTGCTCCTGAATTGCCCAAACCAAAGAAGAACAGATGCTTCATGTGCAGAAAGAAGGTTGGCCTTACAGGTATATGAAAAGGCTTTGTCGATACTTAGCAGCTTTTGTTGACTAGCATTTGCATTTACTAGTTCTCTGGATTGAACTTTTGTATTTGGTATTTTGTAGAACTCATTTTGGGTAGGAAGCATTCCAAAAATCATTGGGATGAGACTCTGTGAAACAGCTGTGTTTTTGTTTTTTGTTTTTTGAAATGCATGGAATCTTTGTTCTTCCTATATTGCTCTTAACAGAACAGTTGTAAATATTTGGTTCTTGCTCCCTTTTGTTTGTACAGGATTTGACTGCCGATGTGGAAACTTGTTTTGTGGACTTCACCGTTACTCTGACAAGCACAACTGCCCATATGACTACAAAGCAGAAGCTGCAGCTAAAATCAGGAAAGAAAATCCAGTTGTTGTGGCTGAAAAAATCCAGAGAATATAAACTAACCTACTTGTGAAAAGACTGACTTTGTTTTTATTTTAATATATCCTAGGAAAACATTAAAGAGCAGATGCATGGCATTTTCTTTTGATGTTCTCCAGAGTTTTACTTTAGTCTTGTCTGTCTTATTGATATTTCAGGATGTTTGGGTGTTTGTTACAGGCAGAATTGGATAGATACAGCCCTTCTAAAATGTATATGCCCTCCCCAGAATAAAATTGGATTAATTAAGACCTGCACAGGAAGCTAGAAATGCACAGAGAACAAATTGTCTAGTTCACATGTGCCAAACAAATGTGTAAAATCTGCATGTCTGCAGCAGATCTGCCTTGTAGGAATGTAATTGAGGTATACCATCTTTGGCTAGTGTTACATGCCTGTTTGGGTGGAAAAGATACACCAGAAAAAAGTTGGCAGTCTACTTCTATCATAGTTAAATCTTCTCCTATCTTTAATTTCCACAATTCATTGTTTTGAAGCAGAATGTGAGCTTACATAGAGGATCCACCTTACATAGAGGAGTGTTGGTGCCATATTTAAGATATAGTTAAAGTTGTTTAATGCAGCAGGAAAAGTGAGAAATTCTGAGACTTAAAGGGTGTGAATGATCCTGGAAATGACTACATTATATAGTTCAGAACAATCAGAGCAGGTTCCCAAAGGAAATGCCCTCTTAGAAACTTGATGAACTGGCCTGCAACAGAAGGTTTGTCTGCTTTACTCTTGCATAGCTAAAAATGTTGTGTAGCACAATGCTGTAAGATTTTTATTTACAAAAGAAAAAGCTATTTGATTTTAGATTTACCACAGCAGCTCTATCAAGTAACAACAATATGTTGGCATCTAAGTTGCAAAGATATTTGAGCAGTTTAATTTTTCGTGTATCTTCATGTTGGGTTCAAGAGAATAAGAGCTTTTTTTATTTAATAGTTTTTTAAATATAAGATGGCACCATTCTGCATGGAAAACCATACCCAACATAGCTGCTGTAGACTTAAGTGGTACCTGGCACCACTCTGAGGGCTGCTTTATCATTTTAAATTGTATTTGGGTGTAGGACTGTAGTGTTCTTGGGTGTATTGCATGGGCTGCATTATCTACAGCATTGTACAATAACTCTAGAAAAGGCAGTATACTTCACTGATGCTTGTCTGGTAATATCACTTCTGTGTTATAATGGAAGTTTTTTTGTGATGTATGAAACTTGTTTTTTATATAAATCAGTACAGTTTAGACTAGTGTTGTGGTAATGCCTGTTATCATCTGTAAATAGTTAACTACGTACACAAGGCGCTACTTCTGATTTTTATTGCAGTGTTCAGTCTTAGTTTTTACTTCACTATTAAAAGCATCAGGTTTTTTGCTTTAACTTTGTCCTTCAGTTCTGAGTTATTAGATATGCAAATGTGTACAGATAGTTCATATTTATGTATTGCACATAATCATGCTACCCAGCATCTATGCTATGTTGTATTATGTAAATAATAAAATCATGTACAGAGGGAAATAATTCCTTTTGTTATAGTTCATTGGGTTTTGAGTTACTGGGTAATACGAGGCTGTCTTGTGGATGGGGGAAGGGCTGCAACTTGATTCTAGATTCTGCTATGTGGGATTTTTTTTTCTGTGCCTTAAGCCTGCATATTTCTAACCTGTTTGGCTTTCATTTACCAATTTAAGATGGCTTCTTTGGGTGAGAAAAGCATAGCAGATGGAATACAAACTAATTTTCTTGATGGCCAGATAATTTCAGCAAATAACAGTAACATCATGTCTACAGGGAAGAAGGAGAGCATTAGCTGTGAACAAGTTGGTTTTTCTTCTTCCTGCTTTGCCTATGAATCTATTTCCAATGGATCTCTGGGACCACATAACTAGTATACTGTACAGCACCATTTTATCCAAACCTCTGAAAGCAGGAGCATTTCCACTGGGCCCCTCCCTGGGATCTATACCTAAATATGGATTTCAAATATGGGGCTGTGAGAGTTGCCCTTCCCAGCTATGCAAAGAAGCCACAGGTTGGTGTGCATGACACATGGTAACTTGTTGGAAAGAGGCAGCCTTCACCAATGGATAATACATGGGAACTACTTGTAATGGAAACAGATAAAAGTTGTCGTCCATCCAGCCTACTGACTCTGCATGTGCTTGCTTATTGTCACTACTTGTTCTTATGACATGGGGAAAGGGCTTGCTCTGGAGCTTCACATGCCAAGATGAGGATAATCCATATCGGTATAAGCCAAAAGGAGCCACACTAAAGCAATGAAAAGTACCATTTCTCCAGCCCTGGAATTTAAAATAGAAAGCATGATGAGATCTGTTACCTTCTGATCCTGAGAAGTAGAGAATTGCACATGGATATTTGAAGAGAATTCAGGTTGGGAGTTTGGGGTAGAGAACCCTAACTATATGCCATCAAGAACAGTTTGTGAAAACATGTCAGTGATGTCATGGGTTAGTATGATTTAGGGATTATCTGAGGAAGTATGGGACACATGAATTAAATATTTCACGAGTTTAAATTCACGTGATGTTTCTCAAAATCCCTGACAGTTATAGTTTATATCACGTCCATCCCTTTCTCAGACAAATGCCCATCCCTTTGACTTGTAAGATAACAGAGTATAGTGTGTGGGAAAGGAGTGGTATTCCCCTTCCTGTACGGTATCTGTATATTGGTATAACTGTGTCCACACTAAGGGATTCATACCACTTAAACTATACCAGTATAGTTAAAACTGTATAGCTTTTCAATATAGACAAGCCCTTAGGGACTAGGTGGAGGCACTGGGTCTTGTGTCAATGCTTCAACCTTCTGCAGATGTCTTGAGAGCTGTGGGAGCTATCTGCCTTTGACCACATGATATGAGGGCAACTGTATGCCGCTCAGGACCCATGTCTTCTAACTAATTAGCCCTTTCATAGGAACCCAGGAGCTAGGTGTAATATTTATAATAAACTTGGCACCTCAAACCCACTGGGCGATTCCTTGACTACAGTGGTTGTCTTTAATATCTTGACAGATGTCTTTGCAAGTGCTTTGTGTCACCCCAATGTGCATAGTATTCCTATGTGTTCTCTATTAAGAGCCTACTTGTCAAAGCAAACCTGTAAAGATTTTATTGGCAACAAACAGCAGCTATTGTCTTAAATTGAAAATGCAAAACAATGCTTTTTAAAAAAAAATCTGTCAAGTGTAAGCCTGATGCAAACTAATACAGCAGTTAATTTTGCTTTGGGGAATGGGTCCATAAATTCAGTAGTGATGGGTTTGTCAGTCCTCCACACTGCTGGAAGCAGAGTCCAATATTTTTGATTGGCTGACTCACTCCAGATAACTCCTCCCACTACAGAGCCCTGCCAGAATTTCCCCTCCCTCCAATGTTGTAGCAGTGTACTCAGGTGCTCTATAGAATGACCATACCATGATTAACTTGTTTTCTTTTCCCTTTTTTTCTAGGGTCTTTTTTCTCCACTTCGTAATGCAGAGATATTGCCTTGGGAAGGGCCATTAAAATTCACTTCACAATTGCCTGGAGTGCCATGGGGACTCTTAGCAAGATATCCCCCAGATTAGCCTTGGTAATGGCAAAAAAGCAAAATAGGGAAAGGGCAGGGTCTGTGCTCAGCATCCTTGGCTGAGTGCATTGAAGGGGGAAAGTGTTCATTTTATTCCACTAGTTTTGATACTACTGCAGTTAGAAAGCAGGCTGCCAGCATGCCCCATAGGACAGGCCACCAGTAACTGCAGACTAACAAGAGGCTCGGAGAGGGCAGGTATTGATATCAGGTGTTTAATCTGTGGCCACTGGCATGGACAGTGCCCCATCACCAGGTGAACTATGAAGGTCTCAGGAGCTCCAGCCTACTGATCTGACACAGTCATCTTCCCTCCCCTCCACCAGCCAAAGAATCGTGATAGGGCTACATATGTTGCCAAGGACGACTCCCTCTCCCACACTACTGTGCATGTTGTGGTCAGGACATTGCCTCCATTTCTTAGGGGTGCTAACAACCAGGAGTGGCACAGAGAAATCAATTTCCTGCTACTGCCCCTTCTTCCCTTTATAGTGGGAGCATAGTGGTTATTTTGGAGTCAAAATCTTGTACACCCCAAGTAGCCATTTTAGAATTGGCTCTTAGCCTGCCTTCTTAGTGGTCATCTTAGCGTATAGGACTTCCTTTCTGAACTCTTATGACTTTGAATCCTTGGCCCTCTCTCCTGCTAGTACTCCCTTTAAGTGGAGTAAGGGTCTGTGACACAAAAACCCCTTGGAAAGGGTCCCCTGTTCTATGTGAACAACTCTCACCTCAGCCGTGAGAAATTCACTACACCAAAGGTCTTCCAGGGTATCTACAGAAAACTTGTCAAGATTCGTAATCATTGTGAGATGTATGTATAGGTAACATTTAAGGAATAATGTATTGAAAATATGCTTTATGTACTTGAAGTAGAAATTAGTCACTAGGCAATAATGTGATGGCCCATTTGGGCAAGGAGGAGTTGTCACCCCACCCTGTTTGGCTGAGGAGTGTGGGGGGGGAGGATGTAATGCAAGGTTCAATGGTTTAGCCTTGCCCAGTACTAAGACTTTGAATGAGAAACCATCAGAGGCTATGACAGACAATCAAAGCCACTTAAAGGTAAAAAAAAGAAACTTTACAGGACAGCGGTTTGCCCAATCTGTGAATGGAAACAAAAGGTTGTTTCAATATAACACAGAGGAGAGAGAAGTACTCTGTGTCCATGCACTGACACATCCCCTGATGGAGCACGGTCTCCTTTTATGAACGTTTGGATCCTGAGAAACCAGCCATCTCTGCAACAGAATGAACGTTTGGGGGGGGGGGG